TCTTCAACAGATCACTGGAGCTGTGTGAAGTTCCCTCCTGCTTCAAACGCTCCACAATCATCCCGGCCCCCAAAAAACCCTCCATCTCTGGATTAAATGACTACAAGCCTGTCGCCCTCAAATCTTTAGTCATGAAGTCCTTTGAAAGACTGGTGTTGGCCCATCTGAAGGACATTAAAGGCCCCTTGACCAGCTGGCTCTCTGGTGCGGTCAGAACAACCTGGAGCTTAACACACTCAAAACTGTGGAGATGATCGTGGACTTCAGGAGGAGCCCCCCCACTCTGCCCCCGCCATCACCATACTCAACAGTCCTGTGTCTGCTGTGGAGTCCTTCAGGTTTCTGGGATCCACTATATCCCAGGACCTGAAGTGGGAGCCCAGCACTGACACCATCATCAAGAAGGCCCAGCAGAGGATGTACTTCCTGCGCCAGCTCAGGAAGCTCAACCTGCCTAAGGTGCTGCTGATCCAGTTCTACACAGCTATCATCCAGTCTGTCCTCTGCATGTCCATCACTGTCTGATTTGGATTTGCCACCAAAAAGGACAGGAGCAGACTACAACGGACAGTCAGGACAGCAGAAAAGATCATCCGCGCCAACCTGCCCTCCATTCAGGACTTTTACATTTCCAGAGTCAGGAAATGGGCAGGAAACATCACTGCAGATCCATCTCACCAAAGCTGTTCATATTGTCATGTATATACTGTATGTACAAATCCACCTACCTCATGTACATAACACTGCACATAATACTTATTTATTCCAGCATTCATTGCACTCAATCACACTGTGTACATTTATGCTTGTATGTGTATGTGCACCTGTGCATCACATCCACGTCCGACATGTACATAATAATAACGGTAATAATAACATAACATAATGGTGGTAAAAACAATTTACTCCTGCATCCTTTGCACTCTGCTCATTGCACTATTGTCTCAATCTGTCTGTTTTGTATACTGTAGCCTTGATTTTATTACTGTATTATTGTGTTATTGTATAAGTAAGCACATCATGAGCATTGTACAATCCAGAGTCAAATTCCTCGTATGTGTACACATACCTGGCAAATAAAGCTGATTCTGATTCTGATACCATTAATTGAATTTTAAATCCTTCTGCTCTCCTACAAAGCCCTTAATGGTCAGGCACCATCTTATCTTAAAGAGCTCATAGTACCTTATTACCCCACTAGAGCACTGCGCTCCCAGGATGCAGGGTTACTTGTGGTTCCTAGAGTCTCCAAAAGTAGAATGGGAGCCGGATCCTTCAGCCATCAAGCTCCTCTCCTGTGGAATCAAGTCCCAGTTTGGGTTCTCAAGGCAGACACCATCTCCACATTTAAGAGAAGGCATAACACTTTCCTCTTTGATAAAGCTTATAGTTAGGGCTGGCTCAGGTGAGTCCTGAACCATCCCTTAGTTATGCTGCTATAGGCCTCCCATGATGCACTGAGCTCCTCTCTCCTCCTCTCTTACTCCATCTGTATGCATTTTATCCCATTAATGCATGTTACTAACTGAACTTCTTCCCTTTCCCCTAGTCTTTCTCGTCCCTCTCCTCTCTCCTCCTATCACTTCCTGCAGGTGTTTCTGGCTCTGGAGCTGTGGAGTCTGGATCTGTGTGTTGAGCTAAGTTATACTACGATTCAGGAGCAGACACAGAGGCAAGGTTAGAATCAAACACAGGGGTTTGGGGGTCATGTGATGACGGCGTAGGATACAGATGGTTGCACGGGGGCCCAGTATACACCCAACAGTGTATCGAATGGCCACACCTGTGAGATGGATGGATTCTCTTGGCAAAGGAGAAGCGCTAACTAACACAGATTTTGACAGATTTGTGAACAATATTTGAGAGAAATATGCCTTTTGTGTACATAGAGAAAGTCTTAGATCTTTGAGTTCAGCTCATGATGAATGGGGGCAAACACAAAAGTGTTGCGTTTATAATTTTGTTCAGTGTATTTCATGAGTTTTCAGCAAGATTGCCACCTAGTGGCTCATTAGCGCCAAATTGTTGGCACAGCTTATGAGTGGGATGGAGATATTTCGTGTTAATAGGACAGACTATGGGGGAGAGATCACTTCATTTTTAGCGCTATCTTGGTGCCGATTGATTCCAAATTTTGTCTACAGACACAGTGAAGCATGGGAAGGTAATATGTTAGACTTCATGGGGCACTTCGCAGTGCTGACTTAACATTATGCATGCTGGAATAAGGCATAAGGAATGCTTAGAAATCTTTCTTACTTTCGCTGGCGCAGCAAAACGTCACTTTTTCACATGACATTAAAACCTCACAGCAGCAAGGCGGCTGCAGCTTTCTCCAGTTGCACCAGGTTGGAACCAACTTTTGATTGAGTGATTTCAATAGGGTTCCCAGCATTGCTGGTACTTCCACGCTGCCTTGCATGTGTCGCACTTCTTCACATTCTATACACAATGTTAGTTAATTTTTTGAATGTCTTGGCCATGTCAAACATATTGCACCTTTAACCACATACTTTATTTGCCTAAACTTAACAGAACAAGAAAGGTAGCAGAAGAATATGTGTGTTTTTGAGTACTCATTCACACTATATTCCCAAAAGTTTTGGGTCGCTTGCCTTTACATGAACATGAAGGTTAATGACTTCCCATTCTTAATCCATAGGGTTTAATATGGAGTTGGTCCACCCTTTACAGCTATAACAGCTTCAACTCTTCTGGGAAGGCTGTCCACAAGGTTTAGGAGTGTGGTCATGGGAATTTTTGACCATTCTTCTAGAAGCGCATTTGTGAGGTCAGCCACAGATGTTGGACAAGAAAGCCTGGCTCACAGCCTTCGCTTTAATTCATCCCAAAGGTGTTCTATCAGGTTGGGGTCAGGACTCTGTGCAGGCCAGTCAAGTTCCTCCACACCAAACTCGCTCATCCATGTCTTTATGGATCTTGCTTTGTGCACTGGTGCGTTGTCATGTTGGAACAGGAAGGGGCCATCCCCAAACTGTTTCCACAAAGTTGGGAGCACGGAATTGTCCAAAATGTCTTGGTATGCTGAAACATTAACAGTTCCTTTCACTGGAACAACCCCACACCATAATACCCCCCTCCACCAAACTTTACACTTGGCACAATGCAGTCAAGCAAGTACCGTTGGCAACCGCCAAACCCATTGGATTGCCAGATAGAGAAGTGTGATTCGTCATTCCAGAGAACACGTCTCCACTGCTCTAGTGTCCAGTGGCGGCGTGCTTTACACCATTGCATCTGATGCTTTGCATTGCACTCGGTGATATAAGTGCTTGGCCATGGAAACCCATTCCTTGAAGCTCTCTATGCACTGTTCTTGAGCTAATCTGAAGGCCTTACGATATTTTGAGGTCTGTAGCTATTGACTCTGCAGAAAGTTGGCTGCAAATTGTCTTCTGCGCACTGTGCGCCTCAGCATGCGCTGACCCCACTCTGTGATTTTATGTGGCCTACCACTTTGTGGCTGAGTTTCTGTTGTTCCCAATCACTTCCACTTTGTTATAATACCACTAACAGTTGACCGTGGAATATTTAATAGTGAGGAAATTTCATGAATAGACTTATTGCACAGGTGGAAACCTATCACGGTACCATGCTGGAGTTCACTGAGCTCCTGAGAGCGACCCATTCTTTCACAAATGTTCGTAGACATAGTCTGCAGCCTAGGTGCTTGATTTTAAACACCTGTGGCCATGGAAGTGATTGGAACACCGGAATTCAATGATTTGAAAGGGTGTCCCAAAACTTTTGTTAATATAGTGTAGATAGATTTGGAAGGCCTTTCAAAATATTAAGACTTCTAAACCACAGTACTTGTTGGAATATATCGGTGAATAAAGATGGAAATAGAGTACTGTGGTGAAGAAATCACACAAGATACTAAGGGATTATGTGGACTAAGGGCCAGGTCACAATAGCATTTACATTATGACAACAATATTCCACATTCAGTTCAATATATTTTAATGGAATTGTAATCTCTTACTTCCCACAAGGTCTTCATGCCAAGTTCAACATACATGGATTTTCTCAGTGTGTGTCATTTGTTTTTTGTCACTTGTCTCTACTTTCCCCAGTAGTTAATTGCACAGGTTAGCATTTATATAGTGTAAAATATTTTTCAGCTTTTATGCTTGTTGCATAGTACTTACATTTGTGCTCATTAAGCCTGATTGTGAAATAAATAAAAGACATCTTTTCATTATTATACAATTGTGGACAATGCCGACTCGAAATTAAATCCTAGTTTAATCTTAACAAAACAGTTTAATTATATCCCATGTCCCATTACCCTAATTGGTTTTTCACAAAAACAGAAATGTGCTGTTATGCAAAGCAGGCAAAACTTCACTTCACACAGGATTTTATACAAACATTAGACAAACATACAAATTTAATGGCTGTAAGATAAAGTTGGCTCATTAAAAAAAATGCCTTGTTAGCAAAGAGTAGCTGTTATGATGTTTTAGACAAATTGCAGATGAATGCACAAAAAAACGTCTGGTGTGGAAAACATTTGTATGTGTCCTTTTGAGCAAACCTGCCAAAATGAGTCTATGCAGAAAGTGTTGGGCATTATAGTGGAGATGGGGAGGTAGGTGTGGTTTTGGCTTTTGGGTTGTAGTTGGGCTCTAGCTGGGCTACACTTAGAGGGGATGAATGAGGTTTGGCTGCCAGGAGGTTTGAGAGAATAATAGCTGCATCTGAGGTATACACAATATAAAGAAATGGAAGAAAGGGAAAGTTTTGCAGAAGACCCATAAAGGGTTTTGTAGGAAGCTCAAGGATTTTTCCTTCAGTATGTGTGTACTGAAGTATAGGTGAAAAGGGTTGGGGCTTTAGGAGGGTGTGGGCATTCTTTTCTTAAAGGCAGGGTTTTCTGGGAACAGGTCTGGGGATAAAGGTAAAGGAGGACATGCTAGCTTGAACAGAATGGTTTTCTCAGGGTTACAGTAATCAGCCATAGAGAATACCAGAGCTAGAATGAAATCTGCTTCACACTTTTTTTAATCTCTCCAACCATTAATGGATGGACAGCATTTACAGTACATGTAAACAGGACAAAAGTCTTTAACCAACAACTGAAAGAACAGAAATCTTCAGAATCAGAAGAACGTTGCAGAGATCTGAGGATACCTGGATCTCTGCTAAAATTGACATCGTTAGTTATTTTGTTTTTTTCTCTCCGTAAAGTCCGACTCTGTTTTGTCTTCATTTCTTTTCCCACCTCATCCCACTGCAGTTGTCTCATCTCTGTTCAACAGCTCAGCAGTGGATTGCTAAGGGATGGTGTTGGAAAGGCATTTTTAAAAAGTCAGTCCACTGGACACATCAACTCATTTAGTCTTGAAGATGTAGGAGATCCATTCAGAGAACTGTCATGTATTCTATGAAGCCACTGTCCTGTCCACTGTGCCACATGCACTTTGAATGACTGAGAGAGAAATAAATGCAGCATCATGGGAGGTATCACTGGATCTTTTTACATATAAGCTAAATCTATTTGACTGAAACACTAGAGAACTGAGAAGTGGTCACCAACTCACCGGGAGGAGCTTAGGATGGTCCACTTTCACCATTACACACTCTACCATCACATGCCCTACAGGAGGTGGACAAAATAATGGAAATGACATAACAAAGGTACTTCAACATCAAAATTATTGAATGACAGCGGCACAGTCAATAAGCAAACTGTCAGCTTTAAAAGACAACCAAGCAGTCAAAAAAATTACACAGTATGTGACACAGTACACCAAGAATGAAACTGTTTCATTTGGTAAAAAATGACCTCTCATGAAGGCCGCCATGTTCAGCACCAGCTTGTGCTGCTTTCTCTCAGCTACACTGAGCTACATTCAGCTGGTTGGCATGTCAAGGCTGGAAGATCATTGTATTAGCTTATCCTCACACACATTGGAAGCATCTAACAGAGTCAGGTCAGAGTAAAGGACAACCCTTCATTATGTTGATTGAGTTCAGAACAACTCCTGTGATATCTTCCATGGATCTGGCATCTGTTCACGGTCAATGTGAAGTAAGGGCTGATAAATCTGGAGCTGATAGAATTTGGTATGTACATGTTATTTTTTATGATATATTTGATACTCTAGTGTCAAATAATAATAACAATAATAATAATAATAATCCCCTTGAATCCCCTTTTGAATCACATAAATGTGTAAACACATTTTTAACATGTTATTAAACTGGTAAGCTGTAGTAACTTGTGTAAAGACGTATGGATCTTGCATGAAAAACTGGTGGTGGTTTTGGCTTGCAGTAAGAAGTTCGCCAACATACAGATGGACATTTAAACAGGATTTCTTCACAATGTGATGTCAATACGGAATACTATTGGAAATTTTCTTTATTTTGTCCACCCCATGTACTGCAGAGAAGGCTGTAGCTCCTCCCCACTATGGCCCCCTTTTTCTCCTCCTCTTCCTCAACCCCACATAGCACTCGCCCACAGCACCTTGATAACTCTAAGATTCAAGAGATAAAGACAAAGAAAGAAAGAGAAGAGACAAGGGGCAAAAATGGGAGAAAAATCAATATTTAAAAGAAAATCTTTTTATCTTTCCCTCCTCTGTGTGCCTTTTTCTCTCGCACAGGACAGGCTGCCCCCTGTCTCCATGTCCTTATCAAATTTAAAAAGCCTGGCTGAGAAAAATTCTGACTGATCTTGTTATGATTAAACATCTCTCCCACTGGCTGCAGGACACTGGTGTTCCTTTTAAATGCTTCCCTCATCTGTACTTATTTTTTCTTTTTTCTTTTGGCCATGGCATTGCAGTCTATCTGGGTGAGCAGAAGAAGAAGAAGTCCAGCATATTATCAGAAACATTTTGCTATATCATTTACACGTGTATATAATTTACAGAGTATTCTATTTTTTAAAGTATATATAAAACAACAACATCTACCTAAAAGGTTTTTGAAGTTACATTCAGTAGCTGAACTGAAAGGAGACAAAACCAAATGAATGTCAACAGATTAAAACATCACAAAAGTAGAATTCTCATTGTACATTGACAGTGCATTGAATCCTGAATAAAATTTGAAAATCAAAGGCAAACTTATGTCCAAGAGTTGCAAATCACAAATAGATATATTATATATTTGTATATAAATGTTTTTCTTCTTACTGGTAATACAATAAATACAACATTAGTAAATGGCTACAAGTGACTCTCTGACCATGCCTCACAGCATGTTATTAGTACAACGTTTAAATATAGAAGGATGTCACTGAAGTAGAGATCCATATAAATAGAAAGGTTTAAAGAGACTTTTAGGAAAACTTAGTTTGTTCATGTTTTTTTTTTATTTTTTACCTCATATAGAACTTTTTCCTCCCTTCCCCTTATCCTCTCATCCTACCATCCTACCATCCCTCCTCAGCGGTTGAAGGCGAGTGCAGTGGTCAAACAGGGATCGGAGAGTTTCCCGTGACTCTTCAAAGCAGACAACTCCCATCTTTTACCCACCCCTACCATATCCTATCCTCACCTCCCTTACAAAACACAAACATATAAAAGCAGTTTACTACACAGCACAGCCACCTCAAGCTACAACACTAAAATGACACATTTGGTAGTGATGTCAGCAGACATGACCTACTACTGACCTTTCAGCTCTCACTGTGGTTTTCAGCTGAGCTTGTGCACTCATCAAATAATCACATTTCCATAAAATGTGTGTAAACATCATTTCCATCCTTTCTTATCTTCATTTGCACAGACCTGTAGGGATAATTTTATGCTTATCTTTTGGGAGCTACAAAATGCAGACTACTGGACAAAACAAGCCAAAGTAACAACTACACTACTGCAGTCCATTTATGGAAGACAGGCTCAAAAAGTTTTTTACTGAAGACTACTCCATGTTTCCATGACATTCACATAGTGAAATGTCTACTGGACCAGCTAAAGTACCCCTCACCCCTCAGTGCACACACACACACACACACACACACACACACACACACACACACACACACACCCCAATTCTGCACCCTCCCCAACACCCGGATAGGACAGGATGAAGCTGGCATCTCCTTCTCACCTCCTTCTTCTAAATCGCAAACACATAACATCTTTCGCCAAGTTTTCTTTTTTATACTTACTATATTACACACATATAATATATAATATGTATATACGTACATTAGTGTTTGTTCTTTTTGGAAATCATAAACTTAAAAAAGTTTACAAAAATAAAATGTTTTATGGTGACCTCTCTAATTGTTCTCTTCCACTCAGCAAGGCTTGTTTTTCAGGGGTCAGAGCCAGCAGTCTCCCCTCCCCCTGGACTCCAGGCTCAATGGTTCAGGCTGTGGTCACTGAGTAGGCCCACAAACATCCTCTGTCCATCCTTTCAGATCCCTTTCCTTCTTGATGGAAGGGCTCCTTCACAACTCTGCTCTTTTTGATTTAGCTGATCTTTTTCTGTGTCCTTCTGTGTCTTGTGTCTGTCTGCGTTGTTCTTCATTGTTTTAACTGATGTCCATCTGATGAGTATCCGTCTAGTCTTTCTTTTATTTACTAAAAAGATAGAACGAGAAAGTCAGTGTAAATAAGGTAGAATAAGAAAACAACAAAGGTAGAATAAGAAAACAACAAAAAAGCAAAAGGGTTATGATACACTGCACTATCATGATCAATGAGATTGAGTATTCACTCTTCTCAATCTCACTATTCAACAAATAGTGGTCAATCGCACAGCAATAATAATACATTTATTTAAAAGAAATTGGATTTCCTTGTGAAACAATACAATAAGATTAAACTGTACATCCAGTCTCAAAAACAATTACAGTAACAGGTTATAGCTTGATCAGAAACCACATTTTTTAATTATGGACCTATTTTAACACAGGTCAACAATTTACTGGATGTCTATGGGAGGCTCTAACCACGCTCACACAAGGGTATTGTTGCTGGTTGAGCCAGAATATTTTGGTGAATTAAGTGTTTATTTCGAACCAGAGTTGGTTGATTGTTGGAACAGTGGAAAGCCTAATAAAGACAGTTTTGCTGAGTTTTATTTTGTTTCTGTCCAGTTTGAATGAAGTGTGTGTTACGATGATCAGCAAAAAAATAAAATGAAAAATTGTTATTCTCAGTGGAGTCTGGCTCCACTGAGAATAACAGTGACTCTCCTCTTCTACCAGACATTAATGTCATCCATGATGCAGATTTTAAAAGGGAAAATAACAGATCATGAAGAGAAAAATCTTTCTAATGAATGAAGATAGTTATGATTCTTTTTGTTTAGACAAAGCTTTAACATAGAACTACAATTTTTTGTACCAGATGGTGAATCAGAAAACATTTTTGGCAAAAATAATTGGTAATGTAATTTGTAGGTGTTAAGATTGCATCCTGTTATCTGTTTAAGTATGAGACCTTTTCCATACTGTCTGATATATCATAAATATCATCTTTATTTATGTATTCTAACACTACATTTGTGCTGCATGACCAAAATAACATACAAACCTCACCTTACAGCAACTGGCTGACTTATTTGACTTTTTCTGAGAAAATGAAGAAACTATTGGCTTTGAGATTGCTTTGGCTTATTCAGAAAATGTAATTAGCAAGAGACGATTTAACATATTCTCTTGCTAATAAACAAGGGTTAGCAGTACACACTAAAAATCATTAAAAACGCTAGTATCAGCAGAAACTATAAACTGTAACTTCAGCTTCAATCCAAATGTAATAGTATCAGCCTTGAAAAAATAATTTCAGTCAAAACTGCTACTATTATTGTTTGCCATCTTAGAGGCATAGCAGGATCAAGTGTGCACTGGAAGACAATCCTGGTTTTTCCACAGTGATGGAGTGAGCAGCAAAGCACATCACAGTCCAGCAACATGGGGAAGAGAGAAGAGGAGGAGTGGAGTGAAGGAGAGAGTGAGGCTTCACTGTGTCCTGGGAGGCTCTCGTCTTGACAGAACCTCTTTAATTCTGGGACATGAGTTGTTGAGGCAAAGGAAAGAGGTGGTGTGTATGTGAATGAGTGTGTCGGGGGAGGTTGGATTTTCACAGATGAGAACAGAAGAGGCCGACTTTAATCTCACCATCACTTTGTAGTTGATTGAGACAGACAGAACCTGTGCAGCTGCACTGTTGAGTCAACAATCCCAGCCAATAACAGCACTCTCTTGTCTCTGGAAAAGGAGGGGAGGTGCGATGGGGGGAAGGAAGCAGGGAGAAGAGTGGAGATGTAGGGCTGGGTCTGAGGTTTACACTTGGATCCCTCTGAGGATGCAGAGTAGAGCCTAGTTGAGAGCCGAGCTGAGGTGACTAATATATTAATCATTTATCATTTTGGGTAAATACCTCTTGGAGGTTAATGGGTTAAGAAGCCTCTATCCTCCACTATACCCTCACCTCCAACTCCTCAAAGATCCCTATAGGCTACCCCTCACTTCTCTAAACCTGCCAGTATGTGAGCGTGTGTGTGTGTGTGTGTGCACACTTGAAACTACCTCATCTGCTCTAACTCCTCAAAGAAAAAATGACAGAGAGAAAGTGCTTTAGAGGTGAGAGATGAGCCAAGCTCATCAGTCATGTTTCAAAAGCTAGAGCCCGATCACCTTGAGTTATTGTGTAAGCGGGCATAAGAATCCTTGAAAAGAACAAACAAGCATGAACCTGACAGATGTCTCTTAAACCCCCTTAACGCCGATTGCTGCGAATTCGCATCACACCGCTTCCATTCATACTGCAGCTGAGATAGCGTATGTTTTTCCCCAATGCCAGTTTGTGCATATTCGATACGTACCTAGGACTAGTTTATAATAATAATTTTAAATAAATTAGATTTATATAGCGCTTTTCTAAGTATTCAAAGACACTTTTCAGGGGTAGAGGATAAGATGAAAGTAAATGGTTAAAAAGAAGAGCAGGGGGGAGAATGGAAAGAAGTAACTGGGGAATGCAGTCTTGAAAAGGTGGGTTTTGAGGGCCTGTTTGAAAGATGGCATGGAGTTAGCCTGTCAGATGTGGCGAGGGAGGGTGGTCCAGAAGAAGGGTGCAGCATTGGAAAAGGCCCGGCGCTTTGTCCTGATGATTTTTAGTGTTGTTGCTTCCACAGACCTGAGGCGACGAGTGGGGGTGTGGCTAATTTGCATCATACCTAAATTTATATCCATTCTATGTGCTATAGATAAATGAATAATCTCCACTTAATTTAGCATCAGCTTGAAAGCAAAAACACAAATAATTAATTTATTTTATATTATTGTACATTTAATTATAAATACATTCAGGCGTCAAGGGGTTAAAGACAAAGTATATTGCGATTGGATGATAAACAGTTATATATGATATACATGTTTACTTGATGCAAGTAATAAAAAAATAAATAAAATGAATCAGTGCAGCATTCACTGATACCTGGCCACAAACAGAGACAGAGAGATTCTTGTATGCTCAGCTCAAATATGCAGCACAGTACATATTCAGATATTGGCATGGGAGTATATCAGAGAAAATGAGAAAGTCAAATATAAAAACTTTTAACTTTCAAAGATTTAGCAAATACAATAAACTACTCAAATAATTAGATACATTATTAGATCATATACAAAAAGTAAACAAAACAAACACACACTGCAAGTGTTGAAACCAGAACTACACAGCATTTGTTTGGTTAATTTGAAACACTGATCTCTAAAAATCCCTTGACATGCAAACCCATGACTCAAAACATGAGTAGAGCACACATTTAAAAGCTGTCAAACGGGAAAAAAGAGTCTATTGTGAACAGACATGAAAACCACTTTGGAGATTGCTGATGCAGTTCTTCTCACATCTGCTCGGAACATTGCTGCGATGAGTCGTACTATGGTTTTATGAAAAATATGTGGCCTTTAAATTGGCTCCCCTGTGGCCACTGTGATAGTACAAGTCCGCTCTGTTCATAAGTCTTTTTTCTCAGGCTCTGTCACCCACAATCCCATAGGAACGTTTGTGTGGCTTTCAACACTGAACTGAATGCATCACAAAGGTGCATACGTGTGCGTGTGTGTATGTCTATATATACACTATATAGTCTATATTTACATGTAAAGTAGTGGGTGTACAGCTTGTATAACAGTGTAAATTTGCTGTCGCCTCAAAATAACACATCACACAGCCATTAATGTCTAAACCGCCAAATTGGGCCCAATTAACCATTTTCTCTCCCTGGTGTGACTCGTTGGTGTTACAAGGTCTCAGGTGTGCAAGGGGAGCAGGTGAGTTAAATTTGGTGTTATCGCTCTCACACTCCCTCATACTGGTCACTGGAAGTTCAACATGGCACCTCGTGGCAAAGAACTCTCTGAGGATCTGAAAAAAATAATTGTTGCTCCAAATAAAGATGGCCTAGGCTATAAGAAGATTGCCAAGACCCTGAAACTGAGCTGCAGCACGGTGGCCAAGACCATACAGTGGTTCAACAGGACAGGTTCCACTCAGAACAGGCCTCGCCAGAGTCGACCAAAGAGGTTGAGTGCACGTGCTCATCGTCATATCCAGAGGTTGTCTTTGGGAAATAGACGTCTGAGAGGTTGAGACTTGCCGCAGAGGTTGAAAGGGTGGGGGGTCAGGCTGTCAGTGCTCAGACCATACGCTGCACACTGCATCAAATTGGTCTGCATGGCTGTCGTCCCAGAAGGAAGCCTCTTCTAAAGATGATGCACAAGAAAGCCCACAAACAGTTTGCTCAAGACAAGAAGACTAAGGACACTACTGGATGTCCTGTGGTCTGGTGAGACCAAGATAAACTTACTTGGTTCAGATGGTGTCAAGCGTGTGTGGCGGCAACCAGGTGAGGACAAAGACAAGTGTGTCTTTCCTACAGTCAGCATGGTGGTGGGAGTGTCATGGTCTGGGGCTGCATGAGTGCTGCTGGCACTGGGAAGCTACAGTTCATTGAGGGAACCATGAATGCCAACATGTACTGTGACATACTGAAGCAGAGCATGATCTCCTCCCTTCCGAGACTGGGCCAAGATGATAATGACCCCAAACACACCTGCAAGATGACCACTGCCTTGCTAAAGAAGCTGAGGGTAAAGCTGATTGACTTGGCAAAAATGTCTCCAGACCTAAACCCTATTAACCAACTGTGGGACATCCTCAAACGGAAGGTGGAGGAGCACAAGGTCTCTAACATCAGAGACGTTTTATAGGGGAGACACGCCACTCAGTCACATCCTCAACACAACTCTATGGGGAAAGCCCGTAACGGCAAACATGGCGATTATCCTGCCCCTCCCGCCAGAAAGCCAAACGTCTGCTTTTAACAGCCAAAGCGGGAATTATATTTCAGCCAACCGTGTGGTTCCACTGACATAAGGGTCTGTTTTACTTCTACTGGAAGTGGTGACGCATGAATAGTAAATCCGTGTATGGTTCGTTCTTTCATTATTTCGTATCAAAACCAAATCGGAAAAAACAAAAACAGAAGTTCTTAGTTTTTTCTGTTTTAAAACCAAGATGGAAAAATGGTAAACAAAAAAACAGACATCAGTTTTGTTTTTCTG